CGGAATTCCTGGGTAAAATGGTTGCCAAATTCCTGGGTAATCTGGATGTGGAGCTCTTGGGTAATCTGGATGAAGTTCTCTGCTACTTATGCCATATCCTCGAGCACTAGGGCGGATCCTGCCCCTGGAAAACTTAATGCCCATCTCATCTTTCCTAATGTAAACATCAGAAAAAGGAGATACATATATGCAGAATAAACAAATAAAGCAGGTTGCTTTGAAGGAAGGTGCAAGAAAAAGAGTATGAATGACTCTGAAATAGAAGAAAGAAAGACTGGAATATATGCTCTACGCCCAGGTAAAAGCAACAAGGAAGAAAAGAAAAGAAAAGAATACTGCTAGCTTATTCGGTGGACAGTTTAATGCTATTTTAACTTCGGGTTTTCATTTAAGGCAGAGGACCCAACTCCTGCAAAAGAACTAATCTTTATATGGATAAAGTGAAGCAAATGTTTTATGTTGGAGGGTTTTCAGTTTTGAGGTATTTATTCACAAGTTCTCAAGAATATACTTAGCTTAAGCTAACTAGTCAATCACGTGCTGGGTTGCTTGTTTCAGTTAATTATTTTATTATTATTTAAATATATAGAGTTTTATTCTTAAACACATCCGGTGATGGTTTAAGTCTATTATATAAAATAACAAGTAATTATCAATAACGTGTGCTGATAGATTTAATCTTTAATCACTACCAACAAAACATTAAGTAAATTTCTGTTTCATCCAACCAGGGCATGATACAACTCTCTGCTGAGTGCTGAGGAGCGTAGAAGGGTTTGTTTCTTGCATTTTGATGAGAAAAATCTTGCCAAATTATCTCATACTAATTCTACTAACAGGGGCTGACATCATTCAAAAAATATCTCAATTGTCAACTCATTACGTGAAAGATGCAAAAAAATATCTCAATTGTCACCCATTAGGGGGAAAGCATTTCATACAAATATTTGCAACTAAAATTACAAATTCAAATTTTTTATTAGATTTTTTTTTGAGTAATTTAACATGGGATGAGATTGAATTCACTTAAAAAAATACATATATTTAATATGATTAATGTCATTAAATTTAAAAAATTAAATGTAAATTTTTTATTAAATTAATTATTTAAATATAAATAATTTTAATAAAGCACGTGTTATAATAAGTAAAGTTTTTATACAGTACCATCAATGATCGGAAGGTTTACACCCCCATCCGGAAACCTGTATTATCCAAATATATATATATATATATATATTATATCTTCATTGTAGGATGAGATCGTTCTGTTGACTCATCCCAGTCGCAGCCGCCCCCAACACCTTTCTCAATCTGTGGTTCTCTGCAAAAACAATGTCTTTTCTCTTGATATTTTTGCACTCTAAATTTTTTGCTTTTTAATGAAATTTGTCCTTTTTTTCTCAACTCTATCAGATACAAACCGCCCCACCACCAGATTTTCTAAAACCAATCACCAAATACTCGTGCTATAAACCAACTACTTAGCTGTACAAACTTTTAGGTTTAGTCTGTGGAAGAAAACAAAGAGATAATGATGTAACAAAATGAGTGGCATGGAATCCCCAAAAAAACAGGAAGCCTCTTTGGATCTCTTGCAACAGTAGTCATATTTTTTTCAAATCGCTTTCTAGTTCTGGCAGCTGTTTGTTAGTATCCAGCAGCTCATTTATCTATTAGGCTTCTAGACTTCTAGTTATACATTCCCACAAGCAGAGACGAAGCTACCATGGGACAGGCTAAGTTTTTAAAAATGTTTAATATGGTACATTAATTTTTACTTAGTACAATTTTTTTTTCTTTTATGTTTGAATTACAAGGATTATTTTGAATTTAAGGGCTTACTTGATTAAATGTTACTTTATCAATAAAATATTTATTGGAAAAGTGATTAGGCAAATATTGTACGAAAAATTAGAGAATATTATACGAGAAGTTGTTCAGTTTTATAATAAAATTTTGTTAGGTTATTAAATTTGTTATGCTTGATAAGAAATTCATATAGAAAAAGTTAGTAAGAAAAGTTATTAAATAAGTCTCATGTAGGGATAGTCATAGAAAAACATTTTCCTTGCAAAAACGGTAGGAAGAAAACTTTATAAATTGAGAATTGTATCAAAGAAATTAAAAGTTAAAATACCATTTTTACCCTATTT